CCCTCCCCTTCTCAGTGCTCACAACACTCCACCCCTGCCGTGTGTGTGTGTGTGTGTGTGTGTGTGTGTGTGTGTGTGTGTTGGGCCGCACACACCGATGGTTAAGACTTACTCCTGGCTCTGGCTCGGGGATCACTCCTGGCGGGGCTCAGGGACCGCATGCAGGTACCTGAGATTGAACCCTGTCGGTCACCTGCCCACAAGCACTTTTCCCGCTGGACTATCTTGCCTACCTACCCGAACTATTTATTTATTTTTGTGCCACACTTGGTCATGTTCAGGGGTTTCTCTGGCTCTGCACTCAGGAATTACTCCTGGTGGTGCCCAGGGAACCCTGTGGGATGCCGGGGATCAAACCTGGGCTGGGAACTTGCAAGGCAAATGCCCTCCCTGCTGTACTATCTCTCCGGCCCCAAACTGTTTGTTTTTAAATGTAACAGCGCGTGGACTGGAGTGATAGCACAGCGGATAGGTCATTTGCCTTGCACGTGGCCAACTGGGCCGACCTGTGTTCGATTCCTCCGCCCCTCTTGGAGAGCCCAGCAAGCTGCCGAGAGTATCTCGCCTGCATGGCAAAGCCTGGCAAGCTACATGTGACATATTCGATATGCCAAAATACAGTAACAACAAGTCTCGCAATGGAGACGTTACTGGCCCCGCTTGCTCGAGCAAAACTGATGAACAGTGGGAGACAGAGCAGTGCTACAGTAACAGCTTGGCAGCTTCTCCAGTTCTGTCTCCTTGGATGAGCTCTTTGAGACTTTCCGATTCTCTAGTCTTTGATTATAGAACTGTCTAGTGTATATACTACAAATGTTTCTGAAATGTAAGCTTGACTGAGAGGAAATAGAGAGCCTCATGTATTGTTTCTTTTATAGATAGGATAGTGCAGCCACTCAGGAATGCACTTTTCTCGCCAGGTTAAAAGGCAATCTGGGTGTAGTTACACGTTATCTATTACTACTGTGTGTGTTCAACTGGGTTTTTATTTTCTAGTATTTTATCGTTTCCTCCTCCCTCATGCTTGCCCAAACCCAGGTACCAAAAAATCAAATTTTCTGACGACACCATTATCCCTAAAAACAGCTAGCTGGTTTTCATAAAGGTTCTCAGTAGTCAGGCCAGATGCAGCAACAAATGAATCTAGAAGAAAGAAATCATGCATGTTTGCATATTTTTTTTAAGTGTGAGATGTGGAAAATGAGGATTTCTAGATATGATCTGATCAAGAATATATATATATATTTTTTTATATATATGGGCTGGAGCAATAAGCACAGCGGGTAGGGTGTTTGCTTTGCACGCGGCCAACCCTGGTTCTATTCCCAGCATCCCATATGGTTCCCCGAGCACCGCCAGGAGTAGTTCTTGAGTGCAGAGCCAGGAGTGACCCCTGTGCATCACCGTGTGACCCCAAAAGAAAAAAAAGAATATATATATGCTATATATATGCAGCATTCAGACTTACTCTGGATTTTCTGAGCTTGCAAACATAGCATATCAACACTGGTACTTTTGACACTTGTGTGTGGGGACAGGGGACTATTGAGAGCATCTTGCTGAGGGGGGATTGTGGACAGTGAGCGCCTGCTTCCTGCCTGCAGAGGACCATTCCTCACAGCAGGGTGCCTTGCCTGCCACCGCTGCCTTCTCTCCTTCCCTCTCAGTTTATCCTTCCACCTGTGAGGTGGGTCCGTGGGTCCGTCCTCACTTCTCTTCTCTCTCCACCTTGTCTCTTCCACTGGGCTCTTCTTCCCTTGCTTAGCACAATGAGAAACTGCGGAGAAGTCGGTTGGGACTTCACAGCCCACAGTAATGATTGAGGTAGTGGTTGGAATTTAAGAGTTACAGAGACTTTCAGAAAGACACAGTGGATTGCATGAGTAGGAAAGTTTCGCAGGTCATGAAATTTTAAAATAATTAAAAAAAAAACTGACCCTGGTACCTTGCTTGAATCCTTAAAAAAAAAAACCCTCTTTAAGGTATCGATATTTAATGCCAATTTCAAAAAACACTGCCACTGAGAAGGGTTTTTCAACCATCTGAATAATGTTGGCACAGATTGTGGCACTTTTGTGTGGTGGATCTGTAATGCGTAAAGATGGAATTGCACGTACCCATCCTTGAGGAGAGGACATGACAATGGAATTATTTCCGCACTTCACCCAGAGCGGCTTTCTTTCCCACGTGCCTGACAGCTTTCTGCCTGCCTTTTAGTGATTGCTGCCATCTAGTGTCCCCAAACGCAGTTGCAGTGGGGTGGCCTTTTCCCAAAAGATGGCAACTGTTTTCGCAGTGTCTGGAAATAACTGTTGGACAGCAACAGTTGTGTTTCTGTGGTCCATCAGACACAGATATACCCCGCTGCAGTGGTTATTATGCGGAGACTGGGGGTCTCTCAGGTTCCCAAAGCTAGCCAATAAAGCAAGAAGGGATTTCAGAGCCCTAACCTCTGGAGTGGGACCATTGCCGGGGGGATGGGGTGGGGGGTGGAGGAGGGGGTTGTTCCCTACAAAGTCAGGCCCCCTCCTGAGAGGCCTGTTCTGCCTTAGCGTCTCTCCACCTACCCAAAAGACACTTCCGTGTGTCATTTTGTTTATAAAAGTAGATACTTATACATGATTCAGTTGTAAGTTCTCATGTTTTATTTCTTTTTTTGGTTGCGGGGGAGGGGGAGGGATTACCCAGAGATGCTTAAGGTTACTCCTAGCTCTGCTCTCAGGAATCACTCCTGGCACTGCTCATTGGAACCATATGGGATGCTGGGGATTTAACTTGCATCAGCTACATGTAAGGCAAGCACCTTCCCCACCGGCCTATGGCTCAGCCACTCATCTTTTTTTTCCCTCTCTCTCTCTCTCTCTTGCTCTTGCTCACTTGCTCTCATTGAAATCGCATTCTGCCGATGCTTTGCGGTTTTGTTAAACATCTCTCTCTCTTCCCCCTTTATCTGTTTTTTTTTTGTTGTTGTTGTTGAAGAACCGTGATTTATCAAGTTATTGATTGAATTGAGTTCTAGGTTTTCTTTCAGAGTGTGTTAAATGGACAGTCACATTTGCCTTGCGGGAGTAGATGACTCTGCTCATAACGTGGCTTCACATTTATTTGCTTAGTTAGCAGAGACGAATCTACAGACTTGCTTTCGTCTATGCAGCCCTGCACCGGAGTCTCTTCCCCGGTTTAGTACATTGAAAAAGTTGTTACTCCTCCCAGCTTTATCTGGCACAGTTCTTTGCAAGTTGCAGCACACCATCATCTGTTATACTCTTGTCACTGAATCCTCATTCAGCCGATGCTTTACAGTTTTGTTAAACATCGCTGTCACCTTTCTGTTTATTAGCCAACCATTACTCATCATTTTTTCCTAGTCGAATAACTGCATCAAGGTACAGAGTGGCTTCAGTGGCAGGTTTCAGTGCCAGTTCCTGAAGTTAAGCTTCTTGACTTTGAGTCCCTGCCTTACTTGGCTCCAATGTGAACTGAGCACTTTAATGGGTTCTGTGACCTAAAGATTCCGTATACAGGAAAGGAGAAAATGATAGGAATCAGTAGGGTTGTTGTGATGATGAAATGCAGATAATCTATTCCATTATCAATCTGATTAAATTTCAGGATACTTTGGAATTTCCATTTTGGTTCCTGCGTGGGTTCCTTACATGGGTTTTGTCTTGGCTAGTCCAAAACTTAAGCAAACCCTAGGACATTTGACTGGAATCACGTACGGATTCCATATAAATTTGTTCCTAGCTCCTTCATTGTTTTATATTCCCAACCTGAGGTGAAGTGATTGAGGTGAAGAGGAATGCCAGGAAGCTCTGTTTTTTTCTTTTTTTCTTTTGGTAAAATAAAGTAGTTTTATTTAGGGCTTTGGAGGAGAGAGGAAGATGCATTCAAGAGAGAATCACTGGGGCTTTCTCACAGGGGAGAGAGCTGAGAGCACCACATTTGAAAAAAATAAATAAATAAACGGGCTGGAGAGATAGCACAGCAGGTAGGGCATTTGCCTTTTTGCCTTGCACGTGGCCTACCCAGGTTCGATTCCCAGCATCCCATATGGTCCTCTGAACACCACCAGGAGTTAACTCCTGAGTGCAGAGTCAGGAGTAACCCCTGTGCATCACTGGGCGTGACCCAAAAAGCAAAAAAAAAAAAAACGGAAAGAGATCATGCATCTCAGATTGAGATGTGGGCAATCCCAGAGGAAGTGCCAAGAAGTTTAATATTTCCCCTTGACTTTCTGGGCCCTGTGGTCTAGAGGGACAGATGCTTGACCAGGGCCATTTGCTCCAATCCCCTCTCTCGGCCTCCACAGAGAAGCCTTTCGTCACTTCTCTGGCGAGGCCAGGTGCTCCAGGAATAGCTTCCGTCTGACCCTGTCCCGGGAGAAGACCGTTGTTGGGTTCTTGTCACTCCAGGCTTCTTTCCACTCCAGAGCGTGCTCTGGGGCACTGGAGAGCAGCCTTCTCTGGTGTTTCGAGTCTCGAGCACGTGTTTTACTCAGTGTGTGGTAAATATTTCTTGAGTGATCAAACGAGCTCATTTTGGAGAAGAAACAGAGATGCACATCGGATTTGACTTATCCCAAGACACACTTCTTGTCAGTTCCGGGGAAAACTTGAAGTTTCCGGTTTCCTACGCACGAGTGCCAGTCACTTGTTCGAAGATACTAGGAAAACTGAAGGCCGTAGAGAGGTGGGGTTAAGTAGTATCTGCAAATAAGTGTTGAGCAGAGGCGTAAGATACATCCCAAGGAGTTCTGGAAATAGGCAGTGGATGTCCTTTTGTCAGAGGTTGGGTGGTGGGTGCAGAACTGCCTAATGAAGTGGGGAGAAGAGTAGCAAACATTCCTGACAGGGAGATTCTAGAGAGTGAGATGCCCCACAGTGACTGGTATTTATGGCATCCTACGTCTCCTTTCAGTCTTGGTATAATAGTTCCATGATTTCAATAAGTCTCTAAAATATGATTGTTCATCAACTAATGGTGTTGCCTCCTTTCAGTGAACAACGTCGGGATGTCTTATGAATATCCTGAATACTTTCTGGAGATTCCCGAACTGGATCGTGTAAGTCTCTCTTTGTATATCAGAGAAACAGAATTGATGCATGCAGTATTTGTCAGGCAGTGGGATGTAACTGTTCAAGCTCTGCAGGCTGAGAGTAACTACCTAAGAGTCATACCTTGGATCTGCTTCCTACCCCCAGGTTATCCTAGGGGGTGGAGGTGGGGGTGGGCGTGGAACAGGCAGATGAGATGGCAGAGCAGTGTTCTGTGCATGGGTGAGCTACTTGGTTTGGTCCTCAGCACTCCAAAAATTTTAAAATGGAGATCCCTTGCCCATGAAATAGACGATTTCATTAGGGAGAAAAAATATTTCTAATCTCAATCATATGGTCCCAAGTTCAGTAATAGCTCTAGTTCATTATTGTTGTTGTTGTTAGAAACACAACTCACTTAAGTATCAGGACCCTAAATATCAGTTTAAAGTTCATAACTGTTAACATCTGTAAGTATGAATCAGTAAACCAGCTCTCTTAAAATGAAAGGTTATCCGTGATGTATGTGTGATTCTTCTAACAAAAACTAAAAACGCATTTTAGAAATGTAAATGTTATAAGTTCTAAGAAAATCTTAGATTTCAGTAATTTCTCCTTTCCACGTCAGTTGAGAGGAAATTGCAAACTGTTCGTGTTTATTTGAGATTTAGCGTGGCCTCTTGGTTCCAGATTCACTTACACACATACCTTGGGTTTTGCACACCAGCACAAACTGTTGCATTTGGTAGAAAAAAGTGCTTGGACACTGAGAGCGAAATAAAACCCAGCTCAGTGCCTGAACTCCCCGGACCTCCCTTGCTCCCAGCACATGTCCCCTCACCTGCATGTCAATGTGATGTGATTGTTCCCATCATCATCTGTATCAGTTACCTTTTTTTTTTTTTTTGCAGACCATCAAGAACCTGATAAATATTAATATTCTTTCTGTTTGTAAGGTAAGCAACTTCTTTATAAATACACCATCCTCCTCTTTCTGATCTTTCTGTTTAAAAAAAAAAACAACTCTGATATCAAGCTGGTTTGCCTTGGTCAGTTGGTCAGTGCTTGTGTGGATGAGAACCTAGGTTCCTGGTAAAGGTGGCCTGTCTCTTGTGTCAATGAAGTCAATGCTAGTCGCACTAGATGTCTAGTGTTGCTTTTCTCTTTACAACTACTGAATGTTTGTGAAAGGCCTCCTCCTCTGCAAGCACTGTGACTGGCCCCAGGACTCCACAAGCGGACTGAGGCTAAAGATTGATTTTTGACTCAGTTTCCGTCTACATGCCTTTTCATCACGGATCCACTGTTTCTGTTTTGGATCCTCTGGAGTATGTTGCAGGGGAGGAGTTCAATGTTGTGATCCAGCATTGTCAGAGGAGCAGAGGACTACGGAACAATGAGAATGATTTTATTCTTTAGTATCCCACCTCTGGAACGTTCTCTAGTTCCTATAATGTGAGGCACGCCTGATAGCCATGTCACGTGCATATGCTGACAGGAGACACCACAGCCTCCTGTGTGCTGAAGAATGGGAGGACTAGCCGGCAAACATGCACATTTGATGCACACGCTCCCACACGTTTGTTTCAATAGCGACAACAGTGAGATTCCACGCCTTGATTATTCATACCGAAACAGCAGAAAATACTGCCTCGGGCTGAATTTCCACGGGCAGTGTCATATACTTTCAACTTGAACAGCTGACGGAAAGCCAGATCCATTTCTAATAACTCCTGTGTCCCAGTTTATTTAAGGAAATCAAAAAAACATTAACTCAAAGCAATTAGAATTGACCACATCAATTCAGATTAGAACTTGTTCATTTTTACCTTCTGGCCAGTCTTAACTCCTGTGTAGCGGCAAATGTTAAAAAGTGGGGGGGGGGGGATGAGTTCTTCTGGGCTGGCAGGGAATTGGCTCAAGCGGTAGAGTATGTGGCTAATATGTGTCTAAGGCTCTGAGTTCAATTCCTGGCACTGCATGGTCCCCTGAGCACTGAGTGTTTAGTCTTCACCACGTGGCCACCATTTTCCAGGAGTGATTACTGGGTTGCTGCAGCACTGAGACAAGAGGGTTTATCCTTATTTCCCATCAACATGACTGATTCCAAGCCCAAAGAACCTAAGGTCTCACACTTTGTTCAACTTTTCATATGCGTCGCTGCCTTTCCTGTGTGATCTATGTTGTTTTTATCAATTTATTTTTATTTTTAAAGCTTGGGGACCACACCCACCTGTGCCCAGGGCTTCCTCCAGGTTCTGCGCTCAGGGCTCACTCCTGGTGGAGCTCAGAGGACCATAGGGGTTGCCAAGGATTGAACCTGGGTTCACCATGTGCAAGGCACGCACCTTGCCCCCTTTACTATCCTTCCGGCCCCTGTGTTGCTTTTTTTTTTCTCCCTGATTTTATTTTATTTTAATAAAGTAGTTCACAGTAATTTACCACATTCAGTATTCAACGGGCTGGAGCGATAGCACAGCGGGTAGGGCGTTTGCCTTGCACGCAGCCAACATGGCCGACCCGAGTTCGATTCCTCCGCCCCTCTCGGAGAGCCCGGCAAGCTACCGAGAGTATTCGATATGCCAGACACAGTAACAACAAAGTCTCCAATGGAGACGTTACTGGGCCCACTCAAGCAAATCGATGATCAACGGGAGGGCCTTTACTTTTACTTACTTTACAATATTCAACACTAATTCCACCACTGTAACACCTTCCCAGTGCCTTTAGTTGCCTCTCTGCCACCCAAGCCTGTCCTGTGGAGTGGAGTATAAAAACTCGCGTGGCCACTTTTGTGGCTGCGCACTCCAGGGATTCTGAGATTTTAGATAGGGTGATACAACTTTTGGCTCTCTTGCGAGATTTATTTGTGAGCCTCTGGATTATGGCCATTATTGAGTTTAAGTGGCGCCAGGCTCTGGGCAAACAGGGATGTGGGTGGAGGTCGCCCGTTTCCAACTCCAAAAGAACCTGGAGGTCACAAAGCCACATACCTGAGGTTTTCAGCAGATTCATTCTCATGCGTGAGGGGCTCAACTCGAGCCCGTGGAGATTGGCCGTGAGCGTAGTGGTGATTGGGTTCTGGAGGTTGTCGGTTGCCAGGGTTCTGTTGAGGTGGGCAAAGGGACTCGCCTGCCCACCTCCAATTGTCTTGGATGAAGTTCAGCCTGGCACAGCCTCTAGGGTCATCTCTGCAGCTTGTGGCTCTCCTGCGAGATTTATTTGTGAGTTCCCCTGTGTTGCTTTGAACTTGTTCTGTTAGTTCACTTTTGTTCGTTTGTTTGGGTCAAACCCAGCGGTGCTCAGGGCTCACTCCTGGCTCTACACACAGTGATCAGTTCTGGTAGCACCTGGCAGACCATAAGAGATGCCAGGGATTGAATCCAGCTCAGCTGCGGCAAGTACCCTACTTGCTGAGCTCTCCAACCCCAGCCCCGTCCTGTATTATGACGAATATGCCTCTATTGTCCCTTTGTTGATTGTGCCCTGTGGCTAACACCAGGGCTGCGTTTCGGTTAGCAGTGACTGTTTGAAGCCCCGGGGTAACTTAGAAGAAGGTGAAAATTGACCTGGGTATTGAAGCTTGTAGGGGCTCATGGTGCCACGGGACACAGGCACGAGTGTCTGCAGCCCAGTACACAGCCAGTGAGTGGGGAAGGGCACAGACCTCTAAGAGAGCACACACTCCCAGTCAGCGTCTGGTTGCCTGGCATGTGACTCTCAGGCAACCACCGGAGACGGGATGACTGGCTGAACCATGCCAGGAAAGACTGGCCCTAGCTTGTCCTCATGACCAGAACTGGTGCTAGCTTGGTGCCCCTAATCTGCAGCATTTTCAAGCCAGAATCCCTGAATGACTTCAGGTCTGGGAGTATCGATTGCTCCCTGTTCTGTACTATTAGGTTCAGTCATGAATTGGAAAAAAAAAAATGCGTGGCATGGGGGAGGGAATTCCTGGCCCCCCCCCCCCCCTGCACTTTGTGCCCCAACATGTGAGATTTGATCCCAGCACCACAGGGGCCGCTGAGCACCATTCCGAGAGTAGCCTTCCAGGACTGCCAAACCAGGAAAAAATCCTCCACATGAACACGGAAGCCCCCGTTCCCATCAAGGAGAAAGACAAGTGGCTCTGACCAAGGCGTTTGTAGGTCATCTCAGAATGGAGGGGAGGGTCACATCCAGGAGAGATCTAGGACACCTGAAAACTCTAGTTCTTTGGGAATCCTACACTTGGTATGTGTCCCTCGAAGACTGGATTTAGATCAACTGTCGCATTTGTTCCTGGCTTCTGGCTTTGGGGCCATGCCCAGTGGTGCTCAGGGGCTTCTCCTGGTTCCTGTGACAGCGGGTCGGGATCAACCTGGGCTTCCTGCCGGCACCGTCTGTGCTTGGTCAGTTGAGCTTTCTTTCTGGCCCCCCATGTGAGATCCTGCTGATAGTTGGCTCTGCCAGTAGTGCAGTGGAATGAAGGCACACACCCTTACTGGCTGCACCCCAATCGGTGATTTGGATGTGTCCCCGCAATATATTTGGATTGACTCAAGCAGTGTTTCTGGAGTGGGGTAATTTCACATCTGGATGTCTAGTCTTCAAGGAAAGTGTGAAATGGGAGCAGAGACCCGCCTTGCTCCATGCTGAACAGCGCTGACTAGTGCTGAGTAGCTGCTGATGCTTAGGAGTGAATCAGCCTGTCACCCCCACCCCCCACCCCCAGCCCTCATCACCAAAGTCCCCACTAATCCCTATTGCTTCCCCATTGCACTCATTTGTTACTTGGGGCTGGGGGTGTAGCTCAGGGATAGAAGGACGTGCCTTGCATGAAGGAGGCCCCAGGTTTCATCCCTTAGTGCTCTCCCCAGCCCCAGCCTCCAACCCCAGAGTCTGTTGCCTCTTTGGCTCCTTTAGGTACTTGGATTTCCATTCTCCTTCCATGGGAGTGTCTGCAAGTATTCACCCTACTCAGGCTGAGGAGATGGAGTTGAGGGAGAATGACTGGCTAAATCTCCTTTTAATCCCCAGGGTTCTCTAAAATCAAAACACTTGGAGAATGAGGCTGTTTGATTACTTTGTGTGTGTGTGTGTGTGTGTGTGTGTGTGTGTGTGTGTGTGTGTGTGTGTAGTGGGGGAACACCTGACGGTGCTCAGGGTTTACCCCTAGCACTGCAGTCAGTGCCCTGGGGACCATGTGGAGTACCAGGGATTGAACCCGGGCTGGCTGCATGCAAGGCAAGCGCCCTCCCCGCTGTACTGTTACTCCGCTTTTGCTCATCCCTCCCCCCCACCCCCTTCCCCTTTCTATTAGTGCTTTGCCACCCATACAGAAGCTGTCTGTGGGGTAGATCTAACATGCCTGGCTGGGCGGATCTCTGGCCAGTAAAGGGGGGGCGGGGAGTGGGGGTGGTTTGGCTGAATGGATTTGCCTCTGGCAGTACCAGTAGGGGGAGCCCTCCATTAATTTGGGAATTTGTGGGGAAACTCTCCATTCAGCGGTGCAGTTGTATTATAATTTAGGGGGTCACGCTAGTAAATGATCCCCTCTGGTAGGAATGCCCACTAGTCCTGCCTTTCTGGAATACAATATGAACAGTCCTTCAAAAACTAGAAATTGAGCTTCCATATGACCCCGCAATACCAATTCTGGGAATATGTCCCAAAGATGTAAAAAAGCATAGTAGAGATGACATCTGTACCTATATGTTCATTGCAGCACTGTTCACAATAGCCCAAATCTGGAAACAACCCAAATGCCCTAGAACAGATGACTGGTTGAAGAAACTTTGGTACTTCTACGCAGTGGAATACTATGCAGCTGTTAGGAGAAATGAAGTCATGAACTTTGCTTATAAATGGATAGACATGGGGCGGGGGTATCATGCTAAGTGAAATGAGTCAGAAAGAGAGGAACAGACATAGAAGGATTGCACTCATTTGTGGAGTATAAAACAGCATAAATGAG